CCTTCCCTGAAGCCCAGCAGTTACCAAACGTGTCTACACAGTACCCCTGGGGATCTTTTTTTAAAAGTCCCAGCACCTAGGGCACACCCTACAAATCAGATCTCGGGAATGGCCACAGGCTTCAGTTAATTTTTTTAAGCTCCCCAGGTGAATCTAGAGTGCAGGCACCTTCAGCTGCAAGTACTTGCCAAATAAGCCACGTGAAAATCAAGCAAAGACTAAGATGGAGCAAACTGCAGACTGAACTGAGGGTAGCTGAGGAGACACAAAATAAGGACACACACAATCTTCTCTGCAGGCAAAGGAAGAGATTTGATAAGAAAAGAAATTTCTTTAATGCAAGCACAGCTAACTCCAATGGGATGCTGGTGTTTAGTGACTCCATGGTTAAGGAACAAAATGAACAAAAATGCACTAAGTAAAACTTCTTTTAAGGGGGGTTCCTTTTTGCTTTTAGGAGAGTGACTGTTTTGTTATTTTCTGTTTATGTTAGAAGCTGATTCTTTGTATACCAGGCTCTGTGGCTGGCAGCACTAGTAAGGTGAGCCTTCTGCTGGCCATTTGCAACAGCAAAGACAGCAGGCTTATAGCCAGCAGGGCATTTGTGTGAGGGAGACCTGAGTTCCATCCCTGAGTCAGGAAGATACCCTGATCGCTTCTCGGCCTTTTGGCTAAGATCACGTGTAGGAAGATCCCCCGGAGGAGGGCATGGCAACCCACTCCAGTATTCTTGCCTGGAGAATCCCCAAGGACAGAGGAGCCTGGTGGGCTATGGGGTCACAAAGAGCTGGACACGACTGAGCAACTAAACACTGCACATTTAAGAAATACATTCAAATTCCTTAAAAACAGAAGGTTCATTGGAAAAGCCTCAATCCTCTACTATACTAGGAAAAGAGTTTATTATGATGCCATCTTGCAGAACCTCAGTTTGAAAATTTTGATGGCCCAGTTAAGCATCCTGAGGAATTTTAGTCGGACTGTAAATAGAGAAGGGAGCGGCAGAGGGCGCCTGGTGGGTTACAGTCCATGTGGTTGAAAAGAGTCGGAGATGAGTGACTAATACTTTCACTTTTCTGCCTCAGATAAGACATGAGCTAATGATGGATGGCATCCACAGTTCACTGATTTTCTGTTGGTTTTGTTTTCCTCTTTTGTCTTTAATAATAGTATCTTCTTAAGCATGCTATCACTAGACTGAGAACTTTGAGTCAACTTACTTCCATGTGTCTGCTGACTGTGACAAGGACCTGGGAAAACCAGGCATGTTGTTTGTATACCACTCAGATGGCCCAGGGAAATCAAACCCCCTCCAGGGAGAATGTGGGTGAAGAATAACTTTCCATATATTCCACCCACCTTCCCATTATAGTCTGTCCTCCTTTCATTAAATACATATATATTTTGGAAATAAGAGAGATCTCTCAAGAAACTCTGAATTTGAATGTAGAAATAGCTTCTCGTGTTCTATTCATAGTTTCCCAGTTATTTTGTAAAGTCAGTTTTGTCACTTTGTAAAGCCAAGTCACTGAGAGTAGTTTGAGTTTTTCGCTCCGTCTACTGACAGCTGAAACCTGTCATTTCTTGGGTCGAATTTAATGACCACATCCATGGACGGTGGCACTTTTCTTTGCTAAAGTTTAGGGAGTTTGAAAAAGAATGATTGTGTTGAGGATCTGCTGTGAGGAGTCTCCAGCTAGAGAACCTATTTGTGAAATCTCAGTCTCAAACCAAAATCTCAAACTTTGCTGCCAGGCCACAGAATTCAGGTAAGTCCTTAGAAACACTGTATTTCTGACTAGGCATGGCTCACTGTTATAAGCAAATATAAACCCAAGATTCTCAAAACCAAATAAACTATAAGTTTATCACTGGCTAGAAAACAGCAAAAGAAAACTTTTTCTTTCTTCTTCAGTGGAAAGTTGAGCTAACAGAAAAAATGGCCATTTTTAGGGAAACTCATGGCTGAAACCCACCCACATGGGCCTCTTTTACGTTCAGTTTCTGTTTAATAGACAATGCACACCTGCCTTCTTCCTAACTGGAAGATCTGAGTGATGGGCAGAAGCATCGTTTTCATTCATCCCTTCACCTCTGATGACTAACCAATTCCGGGCATTTAGTGAGTAATGAATAGATACGCGTTGGATCACAAAGGAGTATTTGTATTTGGAGACAAATGTATAACATTCTGGGCTTCCCAGGTAAAGAAGCAGATGTAAAGAATCTGCCTGCCAGTGCTTTTCTGTGGTCTAGGTGAATCCAGTTCTCTCTGCCCTGGCCTCCAGGCCCATGAAGTGTATACACATGTTTACGTCTACACAGGCACAGCAAAACTCTTGGTAACATGGACATTTTCTGGCAAAAATGACTTCCTCTTTCTTCTTGGCTTGTTTCTTTTTCCTGTCTGTAATGGAAGGACAGGAATGATGTGGTGGGAAGGACGGAGGTGCCCACCACTGACTATCTTGTTTGCTGTGGCTTTCCATTTGCTTGGTGTTTTGCGGGGGACTTTTAAATATTAATGCAGCTCTTCAGGAAGGATCCTTTAAGATGATATAAAATAAGATTTTGGCTCAGTCTTCATACAATTTTTAAAAAATCTTTGGAATGGCAATTGCTTCTACTCAGTAATAATCTTCCCAGCCATGATTATCCAAGCAAAATTCTAAAACGCGTTATCAGTTTCTTTCCCAGCCACACAAGCTGTTAGACTCAGCCACATTTGCTTCTAGATTGTGGATCGTATGGTGAATTTAAAAACTTGTATTCATATTATCTTTTTAGAAAATTTAACTATTATACTTGGGTGGGCCTGTATATAAAGAGTTTAGATAATAAAATGTATATATATATATTCTAGTTTACAATTTTCTTTCCTAAACTGTTTATATTTGATTTGTATATGTTTGGATTAAAGAATACATAATTTATTTTTGCAATAACACCAGAATATGAAAACGAGCTTCATTTTCTTTCTTTCCTTTTTTTTTGACTGCACTGTGCAGTTTGTAGGGTCTAGTTCTCTAACCAGGGATTGAACCTGCACCCTTGCAGTGAAAGCTTGCAGTGAAAGCTGAGTCCTAATCATTGGACCCTTAGGGAAATCCCTCATTTTATTTCCTGATAGTTCATGGGTAGACTCTTTTGCTATAGTATTTTAAAAATGTTTGAAAGAGATGTATACCTCTGAAAAAATAAAAGAAGTAAACATAACATTTCTAGATACCAGAAGGTGCAGTGAGAATCTATAAAACAATAAATATGCCCAGTCTAAACACTGCACCAGGCTCCTCTCCTGGTCATAGTGAAGTGGTCCCCCGAGGGAAACTCCAGCCGTAAAAATGACGTGATTTGATGCCATCCACAATAGTGTGGAATATTCCCCAATTTTAACAAATGGATGCAGAAATAACAGATTTAGGAAAATCACTAAAAATGACCAGATAGAGGCTTTCTTCTAAACCATCAAACTCAACTGTTTTCTTAACTACTTGTGTTCTTCAATCATTTAAAACACAGATTGCTTTGAAAATAAGTAATCATCTATGTGTAATTCCTATGCAGGGAACCATTCTGAAACAGACATTTAGGTTTTTGGTTTTTTTTGTCCCCTTTCTGAAGAATTTATTAACCATAAAGACATTGTTTAAGACCACCTGTCTCATTTGAACGAGATCTCAGTATTAGAATTCGTATGAGAAGCCAGCATCTACTGATATAACTAAACAACCCACATCAAGGATTCTTTCTAATTGTGTAAATAAAGAATAGCTTCAGTTTGTCAAAGTCACCTAATACTGTCTTTAAAACCAGCTCAAAAATGTCTTAGGTCCCTAGAGAATAGTGACTTTTGAAAGCTTCCCTCTGCCGCTGACTGAAGGCAGGGATGCAGTGTGGACTGGTAAATATTCACGCTGATTCACAAAGAGAAATGCAGGTCCAGATGCTCAGAAGAGGGAGAGTAGTAGAGGCTTCGGAAAAGGGAATTAATTCATCCATGGAACAAAAGCATCAACCTCTGACCTTATTATGGTGCCTTGGGACTTTAGAAAAGACGATTCTTCTAACAGCTGGGTCCTGGATGGACGCCTGATCACAGAAATGCACCTCCAGCTAAGTGCGGACACTGTACACAACTCAGTCTAAAGGAATGATCCTGTTTTTAAGTTGGTTCACTATTCCACTCTTTCTCCTGCCACCCACCCACTGAAAAGAACCCAGAACCTCCTGTTAGGTTTCCCTTCCCCTAGTTGAAGAGTTCCAACATCATTCGCTCAAATATGCACTAGAATGTCCACGTTTATCTCCCAATGCATGCTGTTCATTTTTGGGGGAATGATGGTGGGTGGCAGATAGATGAATGGCATATCTGCCAATTGCAGGTTTAGTTACAAAAGAAAAAAAGGAAAGGGATCGTTTCTTATTTCCATATCAAATGCCGTAAAAGCGCCAGGCAAGGTCTAAGTCTTCTACACAGGCTCACGTGTTTGGGTTTCATTGGAGTTTCTTAATTTCTTACTATAATATTATGGAATACATAAAAATATACTCTAACACACAACACATGAGGCAGAATCAAACCAAAAAGATGTGACTGAAAAGCCCATAGCTGGATGTCCCACAGCCTTCTCCAACTATCTACTTATTTAACAGAAAATATCAAAATATATTATAATGAATTTAATAGAAAATGTGGTATGATCAGAAACTGAAGAAAGCTAAGAGTCCTCAGGAATTATCTTTAATCCGTGTTGTAGAATGCATTAATCAAAAACCCTTTGGCGTTCAAAAATATCTCAGCCTTTCAAAAAAGAGAGAGTGATTGTTAAAATACAGAAAACAACAGTGATTCAATGAAGAGTGAAAGGCCTTAACTATGCATGTATATCTATGTCAAGGTATACAGCCACACAAACCGCTTGGATGATAGGCAGAGACGAACCACAAAAGATGGCTCTACTAAGCTACAAAGCAAAATAAACGACTACCAACCAAAATCTGTTTCAATTTTTATTATGAATGTCCAAAGTGACAGCATACTTGAAAGTGTTAGGTTCTCATTGATTAAATGTCAAGAGACCACAGATACAGCATTCCAAGCATTTTAATTTGTGACAGAGCCCAAACAAAAGAATGATAAAAATATTCTTTTAAGTGTGAAGAGTGCTTATATTCGAGTTTGTGGGTTTTTTTCCCACATTCCCCCCACCCTCCCTGCAGGTATTGTGAACACTGATAATTTCCAAAACCCAGAACCTGGTCTGAATACTTGCAACAAACTTTAATAATCTCTGCCTGAATAAGAAATGATTAAAAAACGTACTTATAAAGTATGTTTACAATACAATGGGATGACGCCCTTCCTTCCTCTCTCCCTAGGCTTCTCCCCTACCACCAGGTACCTGCTGTTCATAAGATCAGGACACGAAAGCTGGGGTGAGATACCTGGAAGACTACTTTGAACCTGGATTTTCTCAAAGCTGCATCTCTTTTCCTTTTTAATAAAAACTGAAGACGTTCAACATTTGCATGTCCAAGGAGATGACTAATAACGATGGATGAAAGCCACCAGTCAAGAACCACAGCTTTTTGCATGTTGTGTTTAAGCAAAAAAGCCTTAGTTTACTACAGCTATGGTTCCAGTAATCTGTAGTTCCAACACAACATGACATTTTCTCCCTGAACAGTTTCCTTGCAATCTGTCCTTCTCATCACTGGTACGGGATGATGCTACAGCTGGAGTTTGTTGTCATTTATATTCCAAAAAAAAAAAACAAAAACAAAAAAATTCTGGTCCTGTGGAAGTGCATATCTCTTACAGATGCAATACTGTTCATCTGAGTGGATCCTCAAAAAGAACAATTATGGGCTAGAAACTCATAGAGTTTGTGTTTAAAATTTATAAAATTAAACCTGCTCCAACAGGTAATACAGGGAGGCATGCTTGCAACCTCTGGATTCAATCAGAAACAATGTCTGAGAGCACAGAGCCTTCAATAGGTAACGGTGGGTTCCTTTTAACGCTTCCTTAAACAAGATCCGATGTGGTGCACATTGGAACTTTGGAGCACGTCTCACTTATGTCTACAAGGCCTGGGACACTGGAAGCTGCCAGAACGTCATTCATCATCTTGCCTGTTGACAAAAGGAACAATAACGGGTCATCACTGGTCAACGGAATAACTTCTCCTATTTTTTTTTCCCCAAGATAATTCCTAAAGAAGAGATGGAGTGAATAAAACAGCAAATGTTTCAATGTTTGATGAATTTCCGTGCTCTAAAATGCCATGTCTTTCTCCAGTGAGGCAGGGAGAACCAGGGTGCTTAGCTCTCTCCTCGTGAGGGAATGGTTTAGGAGAGACCCCTTTCTCGGAGGTCAGTATGCCCAAGCTCCAGACGTGATTCTGCCAGTAACTAACAACGTCACCTAAACTTGCTGGGCCTCAGTTTTGTCACATGTAGACTAACAGGACTTCAATGAATGAAGTCTAAGAAGAAAGCCACCAACTAATTTTTAGTGGGGCTGTGCGGTCTTGCCCTCACAGGTCCTTAAACAGCAGAACCAGGTAGAACCATTTCAGTCTGTGGGCAATGGGTAGGCTTCAAAATATCTATGCCTGGGGTGCCTACTGTCCTGGTTTAGATTGGTGATGAGAACCCGATGAACTACCAGGGAAGTTTTCAACATATATGTTAGCATCTGCAGTCAATTAAAATCTTCCTAAATGGTGATGTGATGCGTGTAACATTCTGGAAATACACATTTCCACATCTTTACTGTCTTAAAATCTAAGAAGTGTCTTTTTTTTTTTTTTTGGTACCTATTGGTTTTCTTAAATTAAGAAATAGCTATGTAAAAGTTGAAAAATACATTAATAAACATAACAACATGGATGCATTCTGTAAGAGCATACTTATTGTTGCAGTCGCTCAGTCATGTCTGACTCTTGGCAGCCCCATGGACTGTAACCTGCCAGGCTCCTCTGTCCATGGCATTTCCCAGGCAAGAATATTGGAGTGGGACTCCCCTGGTGGCCCAGTGGTGGGGAATCCTCCTTGCAATGTGGGGAACACAGTTTCAATCCCTGTTCTAGGATGATTCGACATGCTGTGGGGCAATTAAGCCTGAGTGCCATCACTAAGACTTGAAGCAGCTAAATAAATAAATAAATATTAAAAAAAAAAAAAGAATACAAGAATACTGGACTGGGATCTTTCCAACCCAGGGATTGTCTCCTGTGTCTCCCACATTGGCAGGCAGGTTCTTGACCACTGAACCACCGGGGAAGCTCAGAAGCATAGTACCTAATCTAAAATTCAACTAGTTGGACTAGTTAAGTAAATATGTCAAATAAGTTTACAAAGATACCCACACTGGGGAGCAGACATGGGACCCAGACACAGGAAGTCAGACCCTAAAACTGATGCTTTTAACCACCATGCAAACCACCTTACTACGCCTTTTTAAAACAATAGTGAATTGGGGCCGGAAATTTTACTGTGACTTTCACAGCTGTCCTAGGTTCAACCAGAAATTAGGTTCAATATTTGGAAATTTAGGGCTACTAGTAACAGAATGAAAAGCTTCAGTAATTGAAAAACTGTATTTAGCAATTTTGATTTGATCTTTGTGTCTTTGTGCCTGGTAAAACTTAGATGATGCTGAAACAACTGTTTATGGCATTTCATACGGTTATAGTATGTCATTATTACATTATAAATATATATATGTATATAAATATATTAAGGCATCAAGGCATTCATATGCATGACAAAAATAGCTCAATAATTTTCTTTCATCTTTCTACTGTGGCTTTGGCACAAGGGGAGATACAACTTTGTGATATGTGTGAATGATTCGCACAAAACTGGCATCAAGATATCATCTATTGGATTATTCTAAGTATTTTGCTAATGAGTTTATCCTTCAAATGTTGACTTAAAAGCTACACAAGAAAGAAAACGACAATGAAAACAAGCTACAGTTCTAAAGGGACAGAGCCCTTTTCTTACATCTAGGTAAGACTTGCCAGATTGTAACACAATAGGGTTGTTGTCCAGAGCAAATCAGCATTTGGAGAATAAAAGGCACAGAGACCCACAAGGGGAAGCAGAAGGGAAAAAGACAACAAATTTACTCAAATCATCCAGTAAGGACCCATGAGAATGATCTAGTAACACATGCATATACATCTACACAGACTGAATTTCTGGGTTTCTTTGTTGCCAAGTAAGAGAAATAAATATTTCTGTCTTAACAAATGAACTTGAAGTAAACAAACAGTGAGTGAAATTTATTATGGAGTTCTGGCAAGTATCTTCATGACCGTGGATTTCTGGGATGTGTTAGCATAGGTCCTAAGTGTCTGACAGAATCGCTGCAAAAGCCTATAACCCGACCCATCACTGGTGAAGGTGGAGATGAAAAAGGGAACATCACGGAACAGTAGAGAGAGACCCGACAACGGCCACAGAGCTCATGCTCGGAGAGCATTTTAGTTTCCAAAGCCCCTCCCGTGGTGGGGAACCCTGCTGACAGGAGAGGTGGCTAGTTTGAGGGTTAGGGGCCTGCCTGGCTTTATATGGGAATGTGAGTCGCCAAGTCACTGGGTGGAAGGAGGACCAGCCCTTTCTCCTCCACCTGCCGCCTCTGGCTGGTAACGCTGATCCTGATGAATGCACTGCTTAGTATCATTCATCTCTTCTCCTCCTACAATTACGCCTCGCAGACTGTCTCATAAGGAATTCCCTACAAACTAGATCTAAGCGCCTCCACAAAGCAGCTGGGTTGGGAGAAGCACGTTGCCCAGTGTCATTTACAAAGCAGCCAGCAAACAGCAGAGCCAGAACTCAGAGACTTGGCATCTGTGGTTCCCCAGTTCCTGCTCATTTCCCGGCCACACCACTGTGGTGCCCGCTGGACCACTGGGCAGAAGTGTCTACGCGTGCGATGCAGCCCCATCTTTATGTGTTGAATCCAAAACAAGCTCCTGCATCTAACACCTAGTCACAAAGATAGACACTGGCTGCTCCAGAGACCTGCCACCAAGAGACACTGCAGGCAGACGGGCTTACTCCAAACTCCTTAAATAGAGAGCTTTTGTGAAGAGCATTCTTGCTTGTTCAGGAATCACTCTTTACAGTTCCCAGTGGGCTGCGTGATCACCCTTTAACACTGGCTATAATTTCATAGAGTAGGAGGCCAAGCACCGTAGTTTTCAATGAGAGAGAATATGGTGCAGAGATTTTTTTTTTTTTAATAGACTGAGAGGCAGCAGTGCCTGGAGGTGTAAGTCATATCTGCAGTCTTTTATAAACGGGCACAATGAAGGTGAGCTGACTGGGAGGCGACCCTCATCCAGAAGGAACTCTCTGGATCCCGTGGGGGTCCACGGGTTCCAGGTCACTCACATAAGTAAGTGAGGTCTTACGTATGTGAGTCCAGGTCTTGGATATGTGAGTCCAAGTCCAGGTCTCAATCTGTGCGAACAGCCCGGCAAACTCATTAATGCCACATTGCATATGAGCAAATGAGGTTCAAAGAGGTGAAATAAGCTCGCAAAGACGACACAGCTACATAGTGGCCGAGACTTTCAAGTTATGTGTGCTTCGCCCCCAAATTACCTGCCTTTCCTCTCATACCTCATACAGGCTGTGTCCCCCACATACCTGAGCTCCACACAGCGAACGGCCACCCCATACCAGGGCCCGTGGGTCACGAGCCTGCCAAGGACCAACCCTGCAGGGAGGCCCAGGGCTCCCAAAGCAGCCACACCCTTTCTTACTCACGGAAACCCGGCTCTGGAACTAGGGGCCTGGCTTCCATGAATGCAGGGTCGCAGAATGATGGGGGCAGTAAGGACAAGCAGAAATGACCACAGGTGGGCCGACGGCACAGAGAAACAGGAATTAGGTCAACTTCAGTGTTGAGGCTTCTGTGGTCTGTTTCCTATTTTTTCCTCCTTAAGTAAATGTGATCTGTGCTGCTAGTGGTGAAGAACCAACCTGCCAATGTGGGAGACTTTAAGGAGATGCCGATTTGATCCCTGGGTTGGGAAGATCCCCTGGAGAAGGAAATGGCAACCTACTCCAGTATTCTTGCCTGGAGAATCCCATGGACAGAGGAGCCTGGTGGGCTGCAAAAGAGTTGGATACGGCTGAAGCGACTTAGCACACAGGATTCCAAATGACCTATTAACAGCAGCAAGCTGAAACCTGCCTACAGCCCGAAGAATCACTTCTCTATAAATTACAGTCGAGAAGGAGCGTCTATAACAGAGGCTCTGAGCCCTTCATTTCCTCCCCGAGTAAAGCTATCAGAGCAGCTCAGTGATCAGCCAAGCTGGCGCACTGGAATCCACCGTCCTGTCTGCTGTTCTCCCCAAAAGGAGGAGGCACGTGATTGTGAAACCAGGGGACAGAAAACCTATCCAGGAAGCTCTGTCCTGGCACTGACGCTCATGGATTAACCACCAGTGGGCTAAATAAGGAGGTGATGGAGCAATACCAAGAAAACCAGGCCCTTTGAAACGACTCTCAGATCCAGGCTTCAGCCAGCCTCCCCTGCCACGCCGAAGGGAAGGTGCCAGAGTTATTCAGGGATGCCAGGCCCCCATCTGCCTCGTCCAGCTGATCCACTTGGTCAGCCCATATGGGAGCAGGATGGCTGGCACAGATATAAAAGCAGCAGTGCGTGCAGACATGTTCTAACATAATTTGCTAAATGTTTTATTGTTCTGTAGTTAAAAACCTACTAAAAATGTGTGGAGCCGCACACGTCCTACTAGGTTAGAACAGTATAAAGTCAGGTCTTCCCAAGAACCAAGCATAAGGATAATTAAAATAAAAAATAAACAAAAATAAAAAGACTTCCTATTAGGGAAGTTCATTTCTACGATGGGGGATATGCAGGACTCCTCTCTTAAACTGAGATCATGTTTTGTTTCATGTTTCATGCCCACACATGTACCATGCATACAAATTTTTTTGGCTTCCCCAAAGAAGCTTCTTAATTCCAATGTGATGGAAAAAAGGATCATATATATCAATACGAGCACTAAAACAGGCCCTGGGAATGGCAGGGCACAAAATGCTTATCTTGAACATTAGAAATCTGAAGCGCAGGGGTTTCACAC